TTTTAATGACGTTCTGTTAGCAGTATCGTAGTATAAACAACCGTGGTCTAATTTACTTTATATTAATGATTTATATAGAGCAAGCAAAGTTGTTGTATCAACATCCAGGAGGTACATATTTAATAGCATTTTTAATAGTTTAATTCTATATTGGCAAGTTGCAGATCGGTTACGTGGCTCTGCCATTTTAAGTTACGTTTAAAAAAGTCTAAAGAAATTAATTTCTCCTGTCGGTTTCAGGATAACTCCGTTTAATATTAGTTTAAAATTACGATAATGTTTTCTTTTGCTAAAAAATAAATAACGTGTTTTTCCAACAAAAAATAAAAACACATGTTTTGAGACCAGCTTTTAATTGTGTATAAGGCAGCTTGCAATATACCTATGTAATTCCAAAGTAACTGTGTTTGTTTTAATATAATTAAACAGGTAATTTTCTTAATAGGCTACTATATACAGGTAGTTTTATTAGACTTACAATGCTATTTATTGCAATTATAAGAGTGTTGAAATTAAACTTAAAGTGGATCATTGTGGAGTGCCGTTTTTAAGTATTCCTCTGGAAGATGTAAATCTATTTGTTTCTAACTCGACAAGTTCGTGTCGTAACAAAAAATTTTTAATAAAAGACAACTTATGCCCTTGAAAATTCCACTCATTGTGTCTTCTCAAGTGTTTGAATTTAAGATGTCCCAAGTTTTGTCAAAAGCTTTTCTTATACCGAAAAACACGGCAATAAGTTTTTGATTGTTCAGAAAAGGTTCATGTCTGGCTAACACAAGTATTATTAGATTGTCTTCTGTGGACCCGTACGAAATCCACGTTTTCTGAGATGTCATTTAAGACGATAGTTAAGAATTTTTTTGTTTGGATCGTCCTTTGGTTTAATATATTTAAGGATTTAAGGATTAAAAATAGCAATCTGGAGATCTGAAGTATACATTTTTTGGTTACGGACGGTGCTTTTTGATACTCCTAGGGCCGGGACTGGGCCAAAGTACTTGGTAGCTAATGCTTTTTAGACAAGTTCATCAGCTTTGAGTCAGTTTTCTCTGTTGCACTGGGGAATGGGCTGGTATTGAAACGATCAGTATACCTTGTATTATATATCTATGGTTCCGACAGTCTGGTAAGGGGGTGAGGTTTTTATATAAAAGATTCTTTGATGGGAAAATATTAGGTTTTCGCCATCAACGGCGTTACAACTCTTCGTGAATGTTTGCGGTCTTTATTATTGCCTTCCATTTTTGTCAGTTCTGTGCTATTCTTATGCACCATTATCAGGATGGTATTGTTTCATGAGGTTGCAAAGTTAAAGACTTTTAACAGATATTTAAAATTATTTAAACAAGATTTAAGAGCGCTAATATAACCAAGTATTTCCTAATGATGTAATTTTCGATATCTTACAATTCATGTAATATAAATCGTCCAAAATTTGGAGTAATTTTTCTTTATCCAAGGTTACTCTACCTTTTGGGCCACAAAGTTTTTGCATTTATTTTGCTCCTTCTGCTAGCTTCCTTATAAATGCTTTTCAGAGTACTTACTACTTGGTTATTTATTTCCTCGAAGACTGTCTATCGAGGTCTTAAAAGCCCTTTCTGTCATTTTCATATATTTTGTGTATGCAGAAGGATTTTCTGGGTTGCTTGCTATTAGAAGTTTGGTTCTTTCCCTCTCGAGATTTATTACTATTTTTCCTCGCATAATTCGATGGATTCGGTAAACTGATTTAACACACTTATGTCTGGAACTATTTATTTTCAATTACATAATATCTAATCTAAATAGAGGAAGACATTATAAACTTGCAACATGTTAAAATATGAATGAATTGGAGACTGCTACGCGTAAGTGCATAACCAGTGAACAATCCTTAAAATAATAAAAAATCCGTCCGCAGCTTGTAAATATAATAAAAATAGGAAAAACGTTCTGGGACACATAATAAGGCATAATAGAAGATAACAGAAGAGACGATAGACGAAAGAAATGGCATAGGTAGAAAAAATAAATCGAAGCTCAGAAATGTTATTCCTTGGAGGGCCAACCTTTTTTAGAAGCAGTAAGGACCAAGGGAGTCAATAAATCTCCACATATACGTATATATATAAATATATATATATATATATATATATATATAAATATATATATATATATATAAATATATATATATATATATATATATATATATATATATATATAAATCAAAAACGTACTTATTTTTTAAAAGTAATTTAAAAATAACACTTTTACAAATAAAAAAGTATTCTTAGATGTTCACGGAACAGTTAAAAAAGTACACAAATATTTGACTTGCTGTGCTTACCGCAGACAAACTTCTGGCATTTTAAACAAACTATTCTTGTTTTTGGAAACTTATTGGTGTTTTCTCTTCTAGATTTTGCTAATTTGCAACATGAATGGCTTCGTCCCTTTTCATGTTGGAATGGTGTTGAAGGTATAACTTGGAAAAGTTTGCGCTCGAGTATATTTTCCATGGCGTGCACTACAAAATGCTACATTATACCAAAGTTCATTTAAATTTGCAGCTCTTCTTTCTATAATCGGTAGCGTTAAGGCAAGTCCTAACTCTTGTAGAAACAAACGACGATGATTGCTCTCGTTTTCGTTCCAATTTAGAAAATTAAGAATAAAGAGTACGTATGTACGTATTGATGGCTGCAATACCCAACAAAGTGAAAAAAAAATTGAGAGTGGCAATTTTCGTGTCAATCTCAATAGCTTTGACGTATATTTTCTCGCCATCTGATCTAAAGTATCATCACCTTCCTTAGTCTCGTTATAAAAAAGATTTATATCTGATTTTTTATTATATTCGTTGCTTACAACATCATCAGAATAGTGGGTTGACAGAAAGATAAGTATCTTTGTAAGCTTCTGACGTGTTACATAGGAAAGGAAAATAACTGGCGATTTTCTGGACTTTGGATCTGAACATGCAAACATATTTGAATACAATTGTCTTCTTTCCGATTTCTTAAGTACTTCCGGTATATGCCTGCGATTTTGTTGGAGAGTGCCAACTAAAGTCAGACCAAAGTCTTTGTAGAAATTTTCTGCAAGCTCCACAGTAGTGTAATATTTGTCCGGCGTTACGTTACGTCTAGAGTTTCGAATCAGAGACAGCAATCTTTTTACTATTCCCTATGGACCCTTAAATGCTGGTGTGCTGCCTTCATATTTTCCTGCATAAACCTCCATACGCCAAACGTGACGAGTTGAACAATCTGCAAGTATTCGTATAATAATACCATACTTACCAGGCTTTTCCTTCATAAAAACTTTGAACGGACATCTGCATTGAAATAAAAATAACATTTTGTCTATTACGATGTTCATACCTGGTGTAAACTTTTTCAAAAATATATCGTTCAGCAAATCAAACATTTTACGTAAGGATGCAAACTCGTCAGCCTGTTTCCTCTTAGTTCTGGTGATTTTATCGTCAAATCTTCAAATTTTCGTCAGTTCTTTGAATCTGTCTCGACTAATCGGGGCAATATACGATGATCTGCTGAATGTTTTATACCACAAATCGTGATAATCTAAGTTGGTGTCATTATTAGCTCCCATCAAAATGAAAAATAAAGAAGAATAGAGTAAAGCTAAAATCTCGGTATCATCTGTTTTTGGTACGTTTTTACGTACAGCTTCTTGATTGATATGCCGCATAATATTTTGCAATATTTCTGGAGTACAGAATTTTTGGACCGACTATTAAATATGTTTTACTTTGCTCAAGAAAAATGTTTGTTACAGCTCGTCGCATAGGGCGTGGTGGGTGGGTTAAGTAGATTCTGTATGACTTTGATTTATATACATGTGGCCTGTCAGTTTTTATCAATTTTGTCGAAACTGGAAGCATCCTCAGTTGAATTTTCAATGTCGTCATCTTCGTTGAACACTTCAACTAGTCTTAGTTTTCACTCACGTCTAAGTTAGTGTTGCTGGAACTAATGTCCACTTGTCCACAGGAGGTTTGCCACCACTTCTTCTAATTATTTTTGCGTTCAATATTTATTCATTTTCAGTTTTATTTTCACATACACACTATATATGAAAAATGATTCAAATTGCGCTAAACCAACGACTAAACAAAACAGAAGCGGGAGACAACAAACTAACACGACAGAGGCAGTTCAAATACTGCAAAATATAATTTCAACATAACTGTTTACTCGTATATACGACGTTGTCAGCCGTAAACTACTGAGCAGTCTAGAGATAACTGTGAGTTCCATAATGGACCAAGGGGGGTTATGTATAGGCCACCACCGTAAAGGTTTTATTAATGTAAGGGGAAATGAATTAAATTATAAAAATTCTAATTATGGCATCTAATAACACAGTAATATACCAACAACTACTAATTATTTGAGATTTTTAGGAACAAAGATATTTAGATTATCAAATGTTGTGGATACTTTTTACCCTTCCTTGGTCCTTCTAGGGTAAAGGAATGGACAAGGAAATTTGCCGTGATAATTACCGACCTCAAAATATAACTTAGCAGCAGGAACATTAATTCGATTTAATTTCTAGTGTCATCGTCTAAATACGATTATTGATATTTTGTAGTTCTACATATATAATCAAAACTTTTACCGATATACATATTATTTTTCTAAACAATCATAAAATAATTATTATATTTGTTTAAACAAGATAGATTTATTGCCAATAAACTTTTAATTTTTAATTTCAAAGATCACTCATTCAATTACTTATTAAAAATGAAGACGACATAATTTAGCAAGAAGATATTTTCCCAATCAAAGCGAATTATTAGATTATGACCAAGCTACTAGGATTTGTTTTTTTTTATTTCAATTTGGGAAGGTATTTTTGAGATCTATCACAATAAGTTATCACAATCTGAACTGAAAATATCCAGAGGTCAAATAATTGTATAACTTTTAGCAATTAAAACTATTGATAAATGTGAAATATAAATTAATGATACAAAAAATTTTGTAATAGTATTTTAGGAAAAAACACGATGCTGGGAAGGTGTAGATTGTCGCTTATATTTTTTTCACTTTTCGTGTGCCTAAATGCTGCGAAACTTGGTAAGATTTAACATTAAGGAGCTATAAAGTAGGTGTAAATATATTTTTGTCATTGTTTTACAGAGAAAGGATGGGAGGATGTTTTCGGGAACAACCCTTCATCCACCCTTCCAGTTCACAAGGTCGGCAACAAAAATTACGTCGTTGTTACTAATACCAGGGTAAGTATTGGATATAAAAAATACAAATTTTATCGGTACAACATTATACATAAATAAAATTTTAAATAAACATGAACGAAGGAAACCGAAAGCATGTAGACTTCTTTTTAAGAATTTCTGCTGCTAACCAGTCATTTCGTTAATTTTAATTTTCCATATTATAGTTACCTGTTCCTTCTCAAGATATTTAATTTTTATTGATCTAAATGATTTTGTCTTGTTCAATTTAAATATTTGTCTAATAGTTCTTTCTATATCTTTGATCCATTTATATTGCGAACACTGTTAGCTATCTGATACCTAAATGTCATAGACTTTTACCCTTATCACGTCCTATCCCATTAGTAAAGTAGTCTGTTAAATTGTATGACTTTGCCACGTGTCTCAGAACCATTTACTCCATACCGCAGTAGCTTGTGGTTGATTTCGAGATACGTGTATAAAAATTTACTTTCTTCTGTATGATTAGGAGGTTATTTGTAGCACATATCTGATTAATTATAATAGATATACTAATATATTTTGTAATTCAAAATATAGTCTCTGCCTCTAATATTAGCCGTCTCACGCTGCTAAACTCAAGTTCTGGAGTACATCGAAGTTTTGCGCATCCAAAACCATATATATATATATATATATATATATATATATATATATATATATATATATATATATATATTTAGGTTTTCTTTTGGTATTATTATCTAAAGTTCTTTTCGGCAATCTATCGTCAGCCATCCTTACTACATGTCCGTACTATCGAAGTCTCTGGAGTCTAGTGATTTTGGGGATGTGAAGGCCTGAAAAGTTTATGGTTACCTATATCTAGATCTCTCTTCTGCACGTGCCACATCAGAATTATCCGACGTTGACGATTACCATTAAGAAGGCTTCTCCATCTTCTGCCACATGGAATAATTAAGAATAATTAAGAATCAGTTGCAATATTCTATATCAATTTGTCTTCGCTATATGTCTCAGATAAGACATTTTCCGGTGTTTTACAGTCTTTAGAAATTCTCTATCTTTGTTGACCCTCGTTAGTACTTCCTCATTAGGTTTTTTTGGTGTCTTATATATCTTCAGCATCCGTCTATGAATCCACATTTCCAATGCCTTAATTATGTTCATTCTTGATACTCTTCTTCTTCTTCTTCTTCTTCTTCTTAACGTGCCCTATCAAGTTATCTTGACGTTGGCGATTAACATGGCGAAACTGTTTCTGTCTCGAGCTATTCTAAAGAGTTGCTCAGCTTTCCTTATTCCTGTCCAATCCCTGATATTCTTCAATCAAGAGGCCTGCTTTCTACCAATTCCTTTGAGTCCTTCGATTTTACTCATCATAATAAGTTGAAGAATATTATATCGGTCTCCCCTTACTACGTGTCCAAAATAGGCCATCTTTCTACATTTGATGTTTTCAAGCAGCTCGCGAGCAGCATTTGCTCTCTCAAGGAGCAAACATTTTTAACAAATGTGGCTCCGCCACATTTGTTAGCATAGCCATCCATGATACTCTTCACTATTCAAAAATACGAACCAAATATAGCACTTAACCATTCTTTGTCTTATTTCTAAACTGAGATGAAAATTGCAAAGAAATATCTTTATTTCTATAAAAGTAGTTTTAGTCATTACTATTCTGCGTTTTATTTCTATTTCTAGAGTGAGATGATCTGTTATGACAGTTTCCAAATATGTAATTTTGTGAACTTTTTCAACTTGGACTTCATTTAATTAAAGCTCTGCATCTGGATGTGAGTTACGATTAGAGACTAAAAATTTGGTTTTGTTGATTTTAATGCCCATTTTAATGCCTATACTCCGTAGAAAGAAATCAAGCAGAATTTGGAGATCAAGCAAAATTTGGAAATCTTCGATATTTTTAGACAGAATTACTGTATCGTCCGCGTATCTAATTATAATAAATAGTTCCCAGTTGATTTTTATTCCATATTTTCAAGTGCCTTTTTAAAGATCGAACAATGTGAGGACAAAATAAAACCTTGTCTAATTAGTCGTTGTCTGTAGATTTCGCCGGTGTAGTTATCTCCAATTTGTACGAAAGCAGTTTGATTCCAGTACAGGTTGTTACTGACACGAATATTTTTATCATCTATTCATATATTTTTTGTATATTCATTAATTCTACATGCTGTACTTTATCGAATGCCTTTTCGAAGTCTACAAAGCATGCAAATATATCTTTTCTTTGATAACAGTATTTTTGTAATAGGATATTTAGCGTAAAAAGTGATTCCCAAGTTCCCATAGCAATTCTAAACCCAAATTGGGCCGAGATCTTTTTCGCTTTATTTTTTTACGCCCTTCTCTCTATTCGGAGTGCCGAATATAGGCCCCTCCTAATTCTCGCCATTCATCTCTGTTGTTTGTAAGACGTTCCACATTGGCCGTGCAGTTCTTTTAATATCGTCGTTCCAGCGCATTTGCGGTGTTCCTCCTTCGCTTCGTATTTGTGTCTAATTCTGTTCTGAAGTATTCTTAGGAAAATCTTAAGAGTGTGGCTCAGGTTAATTAATCGATATTATGAGCATTTTGTAGCATAGCGTTTTGCGTATTGCGATAAAGATGGATTTGGCCAGTCTGTGAGAATCATTTTAGTATATTGCATTAAAAAGTTTTACTACTACTTTTGTGTTATCTTCATCTATTAGCTGATCTAATTTGCATCTTATCGCCTGGGCAGAGGTCAAAATTTAAAATTTCTAACCAAGCCACGCCTTAGCAGTAAATCATTTCAATACTCAGTAGCGCAGCAGTGCAGTTGAGAGCAAGTTGTGTGTGTTAAATATTGGATAATTTTATTTTCAAACAATCTTGCTGAAAGTGGACCAAAAAAAAACGTAGCGTTATTAAAGAGCAGGGTCGTCAACTGTATCTACTAAATAGTGCGCGCCAGTGCCGTTTAGCTTAAATTTCAGTAACCAATTACCAACTTCAAAGGCGGTTCTTATACAATTTCGACATGCCTCAAAATATGCAAATTAGATGCAGTCCGAAATGACGGGACCTCTATCTGGATCTTTATATCCCATTTTACTAATCCGTACAAAGATCTTTTTCCAAAAAAATTTCTTCTTGTAGTTTTTCTCATCACCCATGTCTTATATCCATAACATACCTTTGGTGTAATAATGATTTGATAGATGTTAATCTTTGGTTTTCTGAGTATTCAGTGTTTAGCAAAATTTGTGATGGTTTAGATAGTAGCGATTGATGTTAATTGCTGTGTCCCTCCATTTTCATTTTATAAAGTTGTCACCTTCTCGAATTTCTCTCTCATATTTAATTTATTCTATTTAATGCTATTTATACAATATTAACATGTAATGTACTGCTTTGATATATGTTTTTAATGATTTGAATTTACCTTAAATCAATTCTTGCATAAAAATTGCCTATACTCGACTGAATCAAAAGTTTTCTGGATGCAATGCAAATTTTAGATTCCTCATGTCTCTTTTAACACCTTCTTCAACGTCTGTTTCGCTTTGCAATTTTTAGAAAGCACAGATTAAAGCAGAAATCTGAATTGTGTTTCGAAACTTTTTTACGGATTTATTATCAGATTGCGTCCATATCGAAGCCAGAAGTCCATAAAAGACAGAAAATATTGATCTTTCACGTTGAGAACACCTATGAATAGCTGTTCTGATGAGACCTATTAGGTCGAAATAGGTATCAACAGATACATAGGCGGTGTTTGCGTGAAATCAAATATTTGCTGTCTTTTTCATTTTATTCGGATCTACTCTGTATGAGTACAAGAAACCAATTCGCTAAGGATTTCTGCTTAGTTGAAAAGACATGTCGTGGAATGCAAATTTTAGATTCTCCATGTCTCTTTTAACACCTTCTTCAAAGTCTGTTTCGCTTTACAATTTTTAGAAAGCACAGATTAAAGCAGAAATCTGAATTGTGTTTCGAAACTATTTTACGGATTTATTATCAGATTGCGTCCATATCGAAGCCATTTTAGTGTTGCTTCTTAAAAGACAGAAAATATTGATCTTTCACGTTGAAACCACCTATGAATAGCTGTTCTGATGAGACCTATTAGGTCGAAATACGTATCAACAGATACATAGGCGGTGTTTGCGTGAAATCAAATATTTGCTGTCTTTTTCATTTTATTCGGATCTACTCTGTATGAGTACAAGAAACCAATTCGCTAAGGATTTCTGCTTAGTTGAAAAGACATGTCGTGGAATGCAAATTTTAGATTCCCCATGTCTCTTTAAACACCTTCATCAACGTCTGTTTTGCTTTGCAATGTTTAGAAAGCACAGATTAAAGTAGAAGTCTGAATTGTGTTTTGAAACTATTTTACGGATTTAAATTTATGTTTACATAGCTCAAATTTCTAGACTAAAGTCAAAGTTTAATATAGTTATTAAAAATAAAGACAGAAATAATTTTATTCCATGTGGTTTCTATCCGGTTTTGATAAATGTTTAGTTTAACAGATCTAGGCTGCAATAAAAGCTTATTATCCGTTAGGTAGGAGTGATATTTATTATCTGAAACTTTACAGAGTGAACAGGCTCCAGTGAGAATACCTAAAATAATTCTGGGTTTATTCTTCTGAAGCTTTAAGAGTACGTTAGCGTAATGAGCAGAATATTGTAATAATCTTTTTGCATTTCTTTGGTTCGACATGTTTTCCCAGTTCCTTGTCTAATTTTCACATACATCCTCGACTATGAGGAAAGTACTAGGAAGACCACGGAAAAGTGGGAGAGAAGGCGTTGACAAAGAAATACGAAAGAAGGCGTTGATACGAAGTTAATAGAAGTTAAGATAAAAATAACCATTTTTACAGTAGATGCTACTTTATAATTTATTTTATTATTATTTTTTTAGCTAAACTTCTTACAAGCCATGGATTTTTGTGAAAATCTACACATGAACTTGGTAACCATCGAGTCTGCAGAGGAAAACAAAGCCGTTGAAAAATTAGTTGCTGAAGCAAGTAAGTAGTAAATAAAAATTATACAATACATGTTCAACTTTAGTTTTTGTAGTTTTTTTTGTATTACCTAGAGTTTTTTTTGTATTAGCCCAAGCTGTAGGGAAACATATTAGTGAATTTTAAAACCAACACAGCGTTATGAAAGGCAATGCCTAAAGTAAGCTCCAAGTGCATGCAATCCCAAACTGTTGGTATTACTTCGTTTATGGCACTTTTAAGGTGCAAAATAATGTATTTTTTGATTATTTTTATTTTTATTGTATCAAATTAATATTTTCGGTTAAAATGAGTAGGATATTATGAAAGTAAATATAAATAGATTTAATTGCTGCCAATAGTTTATTGAACAACTGAACAAGAAGGTTTTAACATAACATATTTATAATAATCTAAATTTTAATGCAATTAATACAAAACGAACATTTTAAACCAAAGAAAAAAAAATAAAAATATTTATAATGACTTATAGAACGGTGCATAGTATTTCGGTATAACATTTTTGTTTAATAAGTCAAGCAAATCGGATTTTTTTTTCAGTAATTCCTGGCTTACAGTCATAAGCTTTTTTAACCACTATTTCTGGATATTTTTTCCTTTTAATTATTACGGCCTTTTTAAAAATCTCATCGTTATATGAGTGTTTGTAGTATAAAACCTGTGGGGATGATTTTTCAAGTTTCAAAATTTTGATATCTGAAAGTTTAACTGGCTCGTTTTCTACATTTTTAGTGACATTCAATCCCATTTGTGTGCAAACATCCTTCCAGTCAAAAAAATCTTCAAACGACATTTCATGTACGTGATATGGCTGTCCATTTTTTCTTGCCGATTTGATTGCCGCAATGAATGAATCTGGTGTGTACATGGGACCACTTTTTAATTGTCTTTTTACCTGCCTTTCTATGAGCGAATGTGCAGAATCACCCTCCTTTTGAGTGTGGCCCTTTATTAAGTACTTATGGGTTATGGATCTGATAGGAAGTTTTTGTAAACAATATGAGTAAACAGCCAACATAAATTTGTTCTTCTGCTGTCCAGCGCAGTTGTCCGAGTAGAAAATAACATCTATATCGTTTTCTCCCATTGACTTTGCCTGCAAATAGTTACAAACGCAGGTGCCCAAATCATTAACACCTCTATTTCCACTAGACTCATCCCATACAAAGCAATCGGCAGTATTTGAGTGTAAGTCGTAAACTGTAAAATTGAAAACATTTAATTTTGATTTATAGTAAAAAAGGGACACATCACCTTTCGGGCACTGAAAAACCGCCTGTAGGTCGTAAACGACGACTACTTGATTACTACTATTATGGAATTTCCAGAAATTAACATTAGAAAAGACTGTACCTTCTGAAGATGAACTGTTATAGTAACTACAACTAGAACTACTGCTGGAGGAACTAGAACTTCTAGAATGACTTATAGAAGAACGATTTTGATCATTTTTATGTAAAGTATCGAGTAGTGCCGGTACAATTGGCGATAAAGCATCTGCATCTAAAAATAAAAAAAGTTATGAAATATTTACTAGATTATAAGTATAATGTAGTTTACCTCTTGGATTGATCTGTGATTGTTCGGCATAGTAAGCAAGCTTTTCATTTACAACGGAATGCTGAACTTCTTCAATATTTTTTGTAGCCAGGTCTAGTATAAATTTACCACGGGTGTCCATTTTTATGCTACAAATTTAAAACTTCAAATATAAACACAATTTAATTTTCTTTATGTAGAAATATAAAAATAAGTATAATTGTTAAAAAATAATTACCTTTTGAAAATAACTTTTGCTAATTTGTTATTATCAAGATCGTCATAATACAGTATAATATACATTCTAATACATACTGTCTTTAATTATAACTATAATAACATCATAATACAAAATAATACATACTTAGGAAAGCATTAAAGAAATATTGCTACTATAATAACAGCATAATTCAAAATGTTTTAAAACAATCAATTTTCTTTTTCATAAAAAACGTCATATATCAAAATAAACAAAGTGTTATGTTATTAGTTATTTTCAAGAAGAGCGTCCTAACACTAACTCAGTCATTCTAAATACAATGTTTTATCATAAAATTGAACTTACCTTTTCAAGAATAACGTCTACTCATGAAATATGTCGTTCTTGATGATAATACACGCAACCGCCTTTACTGAACACTGCAGCACAACTGAAATTCGACGTTGTTGAAGCAAGCAGAAGGCGAGTACTGAGTGGAGTTAGAACGACACTGTCGCCCTCCTTTCACTACCGAAGGCAATTCTCATATGTCGTCCTAGCAGTAATAAAATATCACAAATGTTGATAATGTGTAACAAAAATCTCGTTAACCTCAAATTTTGAATTATGTCGTTCTTGTCGCAAATGAGCGTTATGGTTTTTGACTATAAATAGCGGTTTTTATAAATAAAATTATATAATTATAAAATATAAGCATTTAACTATTGAATGGCGCTGATTTTTATTCTTAATTGTTATAAACAAAGCAAGTGTGATCGTTTAAACAAATGAAGCTAACTCCAATTCTATTGGTCGTAATTTTTTGAAGACTTTATTGAATTAATTAATTATTTTTAAAACTTTTTATAAGCTTTTAAAAATTTTTATAAACAAATATCTCGAAAACGAATTGACCGATCGGATTTTGCAAAGTCTCGTTTTATTTATAATCATTAAAATATTTAAAATATAGCAATTTATTTATATAAAAAACATTTTTTACAAAACTTGTTTCAAAAACTAAAAATGGAGAAAAATTATCATTTTTGAACATTCAATCATTAATTTTGCATAAACTATTGGGTCAAATTTAATGTAGCATAGAAAGCTTTTTTTATGTACTTTAATGAATGTACTTAATGTACTTTAATTGCTTAATGCAAAAAAATAATAAAAAACACAGATTCTTACACCTTCAAAGTGATAAAAAAATTACAACCAACAGCTTGCACATACTAGGAGCTTACTTGAGGCATTGTCCTTCACAACGCTGTGCTGGTTTCAACAATTCATTAGTTATTGCTCAAAATTATTTATTTTGTCTCTACAGCTTTGATTATAATAGGCGAGCGGTTTACCCCTAAAAAAACGCTTAGAAACAGAATATACCGACTAATTTTTTTGCATTCTTATTGCACCAATCCTTTTTTATTCGATTCTATATATTTTTTTAAGTTCAAATATATTTTTTCTATTTTTCTAAATGGGCCAGGAATTGTTACTAACAAATAACACAACAAAAAACAATTTTTCAATTACAAAAAAGTTTTATAATCTTTAAACCTTCACGTGTAAGTAAGACTATTTTGACAAGGATGAGTGGTTCCAATTTTGCTAAAAAATTAGTTTTAAATTTAAACAAAGATTTCTAAGCTCCCCGCGCCTGTATCGCTACGACCGTACATGCTTATTATCATATACGATGTAGATAAAAGTTTATGGTCTGTATTTTAGAATTAGAATTTAACAGGATATACAACACATTAATAAAATCATATTTTCAACTGGTAGACAAAGATAATAATCATATTTCCCCTTGGTCTCCCCTCCACATTACTCATGCACGCCCATTAGTATAGAAACAGCGGCAGGGTTGCCTTATTACATATTTGAATTAAACCATTGAATTGATTAAAAAAAATGGCGATCAGTGGCGCGGTTATATTTCCATTCAAAACTCTGTGATGATATTAAAAATAAAACACTAATTGACTAAAATATTGGTACAAAATGTCTTAAATCCATAAGGAATTTACAGATTCGCATTTTTATTTGACGATATTGTAATCTAATTTCCAATAAAACAAGATAATTTTGGCAACATCGCCATTCGTCCGTTCTCTTCAATGGTAAACTGCATGCGAGCCAGGCCGAACGTTATGCTATGTATTTCTTTTTGAAGGTAACTGCGAAAGTGTGAAGATAAAAATTTGATATGCCGACTGTTTATACAACAGAAGAACAGGTACAAATAATATAATTGTACTTTGGGGGCAATTCCGTACAAGAAACTATTAATATATTTATTATGTCTTTTGAAAATAGGCTAATACCTATAGAAAAAACTGTATTGGCCATTATTCATCAATTTGAAAAGTTTGGCTGTACTAATGGCAGATGCAAAAAATGCTGCCCATCAGATTAACCTCGCGAAAAAAAAAATTTTCAAGAAAGAGAAATTGGCGCCGTGGTTCAAGTAAACAAATTGCCGATGAAGTTGATTTGAATGCAAAAATAGTGAAAAATATTTTGAAAACAAACAACTACCATTGTTATAAAGTGCAGACAACTCAAAAAATATTTACTGATCATCAATTTAACCGGATAAAATTTTGTAAAATTATCGGCCCCCTCGGTCAGCCGACTTAGCTCCTCTAGATTTTTTTTGGGATGCTAAAAACGAAATTGTAGAGGGATGGGTTAGAGTGCGCCACGAACTTGGAGGAACTGAAGGAAAAGATAATCCAACTTGGTCAAAACATATCGGCAGATGCCGCCATGAGAAACGCGTTTTATAATATATTTGGTTACTGTTATTTACGTAATGAGTTTGAAGATAATTTTTAATTTAACTAATTTATTGGTTGAACGTCAGTAATAACAAGAAGAACACAAAATTTCAGCAAATTAACCAACTAAATGATCTTAGTGACCTAAAATCAACCTGCAAATCGATATCAACACTGGGTTAATCTGTGTTAAAGATAATTATTTTCTCTATTTGTAAAAATATTACTTTTTGATATATTTTTTTTTAAAGATAATGAATCCGAATATCTTCTTTAGTGTTTACAAGGTTACCGTTGTTTTAAAAATTGCCAACGGCTGATTAATCAAAGATATTATTGTAAGGGCTTACAAATATGGGATATTCTTGTAAAGAAAGAATAGAATTAGTTAAGCTATACTATGGAAATAATCATTGCGCTAAGGCTACGGCAAGGATCTTTAATACGAATTGCTCAGAAAAAAACGTAAGTCACCAATACGCTTAGCATTTAACTGATAAGTTTGAAGCTATGCAGGTGACGTTAACAATATAAAGCACGAATTCCACTATCGAGTGCGAAATGAAGTAGTTGAAGTGGCGGTATTGGATCATTTACAAATGGATAATCGACAGTCTATCAGACAACTACCTCGTCCATCTGGTGTATCAGAATCTAGGGTTTATCGAATTATAAAATTCCATACATTTCACTCTTATACCACAGTATAAAGAGGTTCCAACCTCTTTATACTGAGGTGGAACCTCTTTATACTGTGCTTATACGATTACGTCATCGATTAAACGAATGTGATCCTATCCTCGGCTTCAATTTTGAAAAGAATTTAGTAAAATTATAAATAACAAACAATACTGATTGTACAATACGTCGTTTCCAACGAGTGTACTTTTATGTTAAATGGTTAAATTGGTTAATTTGGTGAAAATTTATGTTTTTTGTAATTACTGATCTTCAACCAATAAATTAGTTAAATTTCAAAATTATCTTCAGTTATTCCGTAAATAAAAAATAGAGTGTCATGTAAAGAAAAAAATACCTTTCAAATCACACTGGGGGTTGATGCGGGGCAAAAGGGGGTTCCATTTGAGAGCATAAATTTTACATAAAAATTCTTCCCCCTTCCAATGCAAAATGACGTGTTTTTTATTTTTAAAGAAACTCTTGGTTTCTTAGTTTCTAGAGGGGGGGGTGGGGGTAAAACATTCATTGTAACACACTGTATATCGTTTTCCTGCGAAGTCATCGTCGCTTGATGAGTTCGGTATCTTCTCGTTGACATTAAATTTCGTTGATTGAAAACAGTTGATATTTAAAGGGTAGGGCTCTTAACCCCTTCTTCATCTTATTGCGTCGTCTCCTTTTATGATCCAAATAGAAATGGTAGCTTTGGAAACTGCTGTACGAAAGATTTCTCTAGGTGAGCAGTCAAACCATCTCCTCGGGTCTTTCAGCCACGAGTTCTTGCCCTGCACTTTACCTTCCAATATGATTTGAAGTAATTTCTTTCCCCTTTACATAACCCCTAATCTAGAGGATCAGACACTTTTTAGGGTTGCTATATCTTTGATTTCAGGATTTCAGGTGCTGGAAACTCGTCCTCACCCTTTCCATCCTGGTTATTATTTATTAGTATTATTAACGTAGGTTGACTAGAGCATTTCTTATTATTTAATTATAGCAGCTATTTGGCATAACTTCTATCACCAGGAATCCCAGCTTGGGACCGATAATGGCGCAATTATCACGTTAATGGAGGTTAAACACTACTAATTCTACCATGATAGACGTTATTGTGAGCAGGATACAACGTGTTTTATTTTTAGTTACATTAAGATTTAGGTGCCAATAATATTCTATCTTTTTTTCAGATGGCGGTAACGAATACTGGACTGCTGGTACAAGATTGCTCGATGGTAAAACTTGGGTATGGTTTACCACTGGAGATGTTATCCAATATTCTGCTTGGAATCCTGGTGAACCAAGCGGAGGAAACGAATATTGCCTTATGACTATAAAATCAAATAATGGTTTAGTGTGGAATGATGTCAAATGCGACATTGAATATCCATTTATTTGTGAAAGGCCTCTCGATGAAAAACGGGAAGATTTATTTGCCAATGAAGAAAAAGGTAAATATAGCCATTTATTGTTAAAAATGTTTTACTTGTATAACATGTAAAATGAACGGTATGATATCTTTTTTGAAGCTACACTTTTAGAAATTTATTTTAATCTAATATATTCATAACACAGCAAATGTAAACATCAAAACGAATTTAAATAAACAAAAAAAATGCAGTGACTTATTGCAAATAAATTCCAAACCAGTCAATATGAATATTACTCAGGTATATACTTCTTCTTCTTCCAGTACCCTATCCGATTCTCGAACGTTGCCGATTATATTGGCAATAATAACTTTGTTTACGGCGGCTCTAAATAAATTAACGGTTTAGTGCGATAAATTAACGGTAGTCTTTTGATACAATTCTTGGAGATATCGGAGCCAGGATGTTCTTCGTCGGCCTGGGCCGCTCCTTCCGGCGATCTTACCCTGTATTATGAGGTATAGAAGGTTATACTTCTCTGGATGTCTCATTACATGACCGAAAGATCGTAACTTTCGAATTTTTATCGTTTTTGTTATTTCTGTGCTCTTTTTTATTCGATGCAAAACTTTTTCATTTCTTATTCGATCAACCCAACTTATCCGCAATACTCGTCGATAAATCCACATCTCAAAGGTCTCTATCTTTTCATTAATGTCTCTGTAAGGGTCCAGCTCTCTATACCATACAGCAATGTGAAGAATATGTAGCAGAATGTAGCAGATGTTAAAGCATTAACATTCTTTAATTTATAGAAGGCGGCTATGGCTTTTTCAATGCGTATTCTTATTTCTTTATTTATATTCCAGTTATCGTTAACGGTTGCACCCAAGTAGGTAATATTGTGAACTCTTTCTAACTATATTCCATACGCTCTGATGTTCGTTGATTGTAATTCCGTTTTGCCGAAAACCATAAGTTTTGTCTTAGAAGTATTAAATTTTAGCCCATATCTATCACATGCTTCGGTTACCCTGTTTATAAGTCGTTGCAGGTCTTCTTCATTGGAGACAATAAGTACCGTGTCGTCTGCATATCTGAGGTTGTTGACATTAATTCCGTTGATTTTAATGCCTGTATCTTCAACTAAGGTTTCTTTGAAAATAAATTCGGAGTAGATATTAAAAAGTAGAGGCGATAGAATACATCCTTGCTTCACTCCACGTCGTATTTCCACTGCTTCCGTCGTGTTGTGTCCAGCTCGTATGTTTGCACATTGATGCCAATATAAATTTTAGATAATACGGAGGTCTCGGTCATCAATTCCCACCTGTTGCAAGACAGCTATAAGTTTGTCATGTCTTACTTAGTCAAAGGCCTTTTCGAAGTCGATAAAACACATATATACTGGTTGTTTTCTATCCCTACATCTTTGAACCATGACCTGCAAACTGAAGAGTGCTTCTCTGGTTTTAAGGTTGTTTCTGAAACCAAATTGTGTTTCACTTAGTTGTACTTCTATTTTGTTGTAAATTCTCGAGTGCAGTATTAGGAAAATTTTCAGTACGTGATTCATCAGACTGACAGTGCAATGATCGCTACACTGTTTGGCATTTATTTTTTTCGGTATCATTACAAATGTTGACAGTAGCCAATCTGTTGGTATATGTCCTGTTTCGTATATTTTATTAAAGAAGCTTAGAAGAGAATGTGTGCCCTTATCGTCGAGCAGTTTCATTATTTGGCTTGGAATTTCATCTGGACCGATTGCTTTCCTATTCTTTAATAGCTTTATAGCTCTTTCCATTTCATCTAGTGTTATATTTGGACCAGTAGATATATTTTTTATTTAAATTGCTGTTCTACCGTCATCAAACAGCTCCTTAGTATATTCTTTCCACCTCTCTAATCTGTGTTGTTCATTGACTATAATATTTCCTTGTTTATCGAGTAAACTACTTGAAGTTGATCTATATGTTCCAGTTATTTCTTTCACCTTTTTGTACATATTAAACGTGCCATTCTTTTTCTGCAGTTCTTTTATTTCAAGACATTTGTTGCTGTACCATTTTTTCTTTGCATCCCGGATTTCCCTTCTGATTTCTTTATGATTTTTGTTGTATTCTTCAGTGTTTTTATTTTTCTGTTTTCGCCGCTTTCCATTAGTCCCAATATTTCATCAGTCATCCATTGTTGTTTGCGATTATTAATAGTTTTATACTTTTTAGTTGTTTCTTGCATAATGCTTTTTACATGATTCAAGTGGTCTTCGACGTTATGTGTTTCTTTCGATTTTTCAAACTTTTTTTTTATCTCTTGTTCATATTTTCTATCTTTTTTCTGCGGTGGATTTTCTTTTCTTCTTTACTTAGTTATTTATATTCTTCCTCTGCTTGTCGGGTTCTGTGCCCCTGTTACATCAATAAATATGCTCTGTTTTTCTTTTTGTTATGATCTGACATTCTTTGTCAAACGAGTCATTCGTTCTTGTTCTTCTTTGTTCACCTTCCATGCCTAGTTATTCTTCAGCTGATTCTTTCATGATGTTTCTGAACAGTTTCCACTCTTCATTTATGTTTTCATGTTTTAATCTGTTTTTTTCTGTTGTTTATATCTTTGAGTCCTTCAAAATTGTATCGTTCATGTTTAGAACCCATTTTCCTTTTTATGTTAAAAATTCTTGCCTTTACTCTACTTTCGACCCGGTAGTGATCAAATTCTGCATTTGCTTTTCTCCTATAATAGACGATTATTTGTTCAATTAGTGTCTTGAGTCTGCAAGAACACATCTATCATATTTACTGTCCGTCTGGTGCTTTCTAGGTGCCTTTGTGTATACCTTTTCGAGAGACGTTAAAATTACACAACCAATTTTAAAAAACTGCTATAAAAAAGTTTTATTATAATAAAGACATTTTGGAAATCAGAGTATTAAAAATATTTAAAATTCGTTATTTCTCAAGTAATAATTTTTTTCATTTTGTTAAGCTGTTATCATTCCTGTTATATTACCATTATGTTACCATTTCTGTACTATTTTCAATTTTTAATTGACACTTGTAAAATAAAGTATTTATTTCGTTGGGTAGTTGCAGCAATCGTTGATTTAGCTGCTGATTAAGCTGTTGATTCATCTGCTGTGTCTTTATTTTGCGGTGTAAACACATTTCGACTATAACGTCACAATAAGACATCAGACAATGATTATTTCCGCTATTAAAAAGACTAATTTTGTTAATTTGACACTCAAGAAAATTAAATTTTTCTTAGAATAAATTTTAAATCTTGAATTACCTTCCGTTTTTTTTAATACTGAATACGTAGAATTATTATCGAGGAGGTAAATAGTATCTGTATTTGTAACCATATGATTTATGTAATGCATGATTCGATGTATAACTTCTTCCAAATAAACACGTTTTGGCATGTTTTTAGAAATCATTAGGTACATACGCACCAAACAAGCATTTGCGATTGCCAGTAATTTTTCTGTTGATAGATTAAATAATTAAATATCCTGAAATAAAAAAAAACATACTAATTTGAGTATTTTACATCTTTAGGTTTGATAGTCGACACCCGATCATCCACAATTGGATTATCCGCTACTATATAGCTCTATCCACTTTTAATGTAAATGAAAACGATCTAATGTATCATTTTTATTATTATAAGCAGAAATATAATATTCTATTGTTATAATGTAAACTTTCGACCAGTTTCGAAGTGTTACTTCGGATGACTAATTTCAATATTTGTGTGCTAGAGATAGTCGAATATAAAGTAGAAAATAGCGGCTGAATACAATTTGGCTTGATAGAGGTTTTGTTTTGAATAAAATTATTAATTGCAATTGATTGCCATAAGTAAAAGCACGCTTCTATTTTCATTATTAGAATTTAATAGCTAGATGAACTTATTTCTATGGTTATTTAATTTTTTATTACAGATTGGAAGAATATCTTAAATGTTCACACAAATGAACCAAATTTGGATCTTTTACATGTTAACGGCAAGGAATTCTATATATCTCAGGAGTACAGAGTAAGTATTTTTAATTACCAAAAAATCTTTCATGCTTTTAATTTGTAGATATCTTGTCCATCAATGTATAATAATTAGTAAATATTACTTTATAAATCCCATTTTCTAAATAATTAGTTTTTTATTCTACTGACTATGACAATTATTGGTCTTATTTTGATGGTTCATGGCCCTTTAAACTATATATTTTCTTTTTTATTCTAATAACTACTAATTTCTCAGATTTGAAAGAATAATCCAAGTCTACTATACTTGTCACTTAATGTGAGATTCTTAAATTTCATTTCTTTTCATGAATGTGTTGCTTGTGTGAGTCCATTTCAAATAGGTAAAGAAATAATAAATAAGACTTACAATCAATTTAATTGAACTATCAGACGACCGGTTTCGCTTTCTATAATATGCAAAGCATCTTCAGGTCTCGATACAAAGTTACCTTTGTTTAACTTTGTATCGAGACCTGAAGATGCTTTGCATATTATAGAAAGCGAAACCGGTCGTCTGATAGTTAAATTAAATTGATTGTGAGTAAGTCTTATTTATTATTTCTTTACCTATTTATCATTTCTTTCTTTATTTTTGTTCTTATTGTCTAGCTGTGCCTTTCGTTTTGAAAATATCAGAATTGTTGCCACCTGCAGCTATACATAGTACAATACATTTTAGTCGGTCTTCTAATTCCTAAAAATAAGACACACTTTTTCTCTAATTTTTACATTTTTCTTTTCAGGGAAATTATTATGAAGCATTAGATTATTGCAAAGTTCATAATATGAGACTAGCATCTATCGATTCTAAAGAAGAAAATGACAGATTGTACAAACACATCAGGGATATCAGTAAGTTAAGAAAAAATCTGCAATTCAAAATTTTAATTTTAAAACAGTTAATTATATAATTTTTTAGATAATACGTTAGTATTATGTAACAGTTTTTAAATTTCATTGTGTCATAATTTGTTGCAATAGCGTTACCTTATTCTTAGTATAGTAGAAGGGGAGTGACATTGGAAACGACAAAACTGACGAAAATATAAAACTTTTTCTGTCATATTCCTCGCTTAAGCTTTTTTCATGAAAGGACTGGCGGAACATGGCTGAACATGGCTGCTTGACTATCTGTGCATATATTGCTTCAGTTCAAAAATTACCATGTAAAATCTCTGCTTGAAATACATAGGTATATTTTCCCAGTGGAATATAAGTGTTTAAATTTATACCACTACCGAATATTCCTGCGGCCAACATTTTTGCAGTTTTAAACCGGTCTGTGTACCAGGTATAACTATGCAGCCTGGGTCGAGTGTTTACTCTGTCCATCCCTTTCGTGGATTATCTACTTGAAAAGGTACTTTAGGCCTATATCTGGGTATCATATGGTCAGAAATCATCATCCATTCGCTATTTCAAATTTGATTTATGATGTTATTATGTCCTAATCTTATTTATGTACGTTGTTTAGGTTTTCTCGTTGTCTCTAATATCCCATTTTCGCCTCTTCCTTATAACTAGGGTAAAAGCCACCATAGCTACCGTTGCCGTGCCCCTCAAGTAAGCCTCGAGTTTAATTGATCATTCCCGTTGTTATACACCAGAGTTACTCATCAGAGTTATCTCGTAAACTCTGATCAGGAGAAAACTGAGCTACCAACGTTACCGACTTTAAAAGAAATTAATAAAGCACTTTGTAAAACACCTTTACAAACTATTTATACAAGTATGGCAAGAAACGTGCTTGACAGTTCCAACTTTGAAGGAATTTTCCTTCTTAAATACAAAATTTTGTCCCTGATACTAAACGAACGATTGGCACAGGATACTGACAATATAATAGGATAATACCAAAGATCCTTTTTGAAAAACAGATCTACCATTATTCACATATTATCCCTCAGACAATTATTAATAAATAAACTGGCCTTACATCTTCGTAGATTTTATGGCAGCGTACGAAGGATTGGTAGAAAGAATTAAAATGACAATGAGAGAAGTTAAATGTAAAGCGCGAGTACAAGGGATCTTTCACAACCATTTACAACTAACAGACGACTGCGCCATGGAGATGCCCTATCATGCACGCTGTTCAATCTAGCATTGGAAAAAGTTATGAGATTCGGGAATAAACTTAACGGGTACGATATATACTTGTAGTTGAAAATAATGACATATGTTGATGGTATCGTGATCATTGGAAGAAACCGAAATCAAGCAGTTTAAGCTTTCACACGTATTAAAAACACCGCAGGAAAATATCGGACTTCTGATTAACTCCCAGAAAACTAAATATATGCCGGCAATATCAAGAATGCAACAAAATAACTTGGTGCAACACGAAACTATAGAAACGGTGGAAGAGTTCTGCAACTTAGGGTCAGTGGTTGACTGCAAAAACCACACATCCAAAGAAATAGAAAAAAGAATATGCGTGGCTAACCGCTGTTATTTTGGCCTAGGTCCTCAACTAGGAGCGAAAAATATGCCAAGACCAACAAAGTGCAAACTTTATAAAACAATAATATGCCCAGTGCTCACTTACGGATCGGAAACATAGGCAATGACGACTCGAGATGAGGAGTTACTACGAATCTTTGAAATAAAAGTATTGAGGACCATATATGGTGGAGTTAACAAACAGGACCTATGGAGAATGCCATATAATTTCTATAGACTTTGTGGTGATGTAGATATCGTAACAACTATCAAAATAAACCGCTTAAGATGGGTGAGTCACGTAATGCGGATGGATGAACGTGATCCATCTAAAAGAATCATGCTCAATCGGCTGATTGGAAGAAGAAGGAAGTGACTTGAACTCAAATATATGGATGATGTGCAGGACGATTTAAAGGGGATTAGAGTAAGGGGATAAAGAAGACTCGACAGGGAAGGATGGAAGAATGTTTTGAGAGAGAACAGGGCTCACGAAGGGCTGTAGCATTACACATAATACGCATCAGAGTTACTCATCAGATTTCTCTCCTAAACTCTGATTTTTATTATGTTCTTTTTTGTATCCCTGTCCATATTTGTTCGCACGAGTTGGGACGAAACCGCGTCAGGCACAGCAGTGCTAAGGCTATAATCTCTCAGAGTTCACTAGTACTATGAGGCATTGTTTAAGGAAATACTTTCTCCCCTCTGTTATGTACCTCCTGGACGTGATGGTGAAACATCTTTAGATTAAAAAGAGCAGTAGTTGGATGACGAATCTCACCGTATAATGGTTAGTTGTGATGCAGCTGTCTGTGATTTGCCCATTGACCATAATGAGTGTTTATTTTGTTGTGTCTGTGTGTGTTTATTTTTTTGTGTATGTGTTATGTTCAATTGACAAATCTAATGACAGTAATGAAATTAACAGAACGGGTATTTTTTTGGTTGTACCTTATTTACACATGTCACATTTAACACATAAATTTAAATGTACATGGTGATTTACACAAGCCTGGCATAGTCTTTATTGTTAAGAGAAGATCCTGCATATTTTTATATTTTTAAAAGCTCTTTAACAACCTGATCTTAACGAACTATATTATGTATGATCCATTATGACTATTACAAGGTCAAATTTTAAAATTGTACAGTGCGAAAATCACTTATGGAATAAAATTGTTTATATCCTTATTTTAGAAAATTGTAAAAATGCTGGTATATGTCAACTTTTAAATTTAAATATTTGCTTTGTGAACATAAGTTTAAATGTACTGTGTAATTCACGTAAGTCTAGCGTAGTCCGTCATCTTTATTTTTAATGGAACGCCCTCTATATTTCTACCTTTCTAAAAGCTCTTTAACAACCTAATCTTAACAAACTATATTATATAGGGTCTATTATGAATATTACAAGCTTATAGAAACATTAAAATATACATGGTGTTTCATTAAAAATAAAGATGATGGACTATGATAGATTTGCGTAAATCACTTTATATATTTAAATTTTAGCATTTTTATGATTTTCTAAAATAAGTACACAAACAATTTTATTCCATAAGTGATTTCCACACTTATAATTTCAAAATTTCACCCCGTATTATTCATAATAGACCCTATATGATATAGATAATTGAGATCAAGTTATTACGCAGCTTTTAAAACAATAAAAATAAACAGGGTGTTTCATTAAAAATAAAGCTTATGGACAATGCTAGGCTCTAGCTTGAGTATGAATAGTGCTGAGATGGGAATTACTATAAACACTAAAAAAACGTCCAAAAAAAAGTACATACTGATTACAAAAGGACCACAAAATATACATCACCTATTGACAATCAATGGCAACGTGATAGAACAAGTAGAAAAATATCAGTATTTGGGAACTTTGATCAATGAAACCAATGATCATGCTGTAGAAATAAACAGGCGAATAGAGATTGCCAGATCAGCATTTATACGAATGAAGCCACTCCTAACGTGCAAAAATCTAAATTTGGAGATCAGAGTACGTACCATTCGCTCTTATATATTTTCAATATTATTATATGGAGCTGAGACTTGGATAATAAAAAAATGTAATTTAAAAATAATCGAGGCCTTCGAACTCTGGTTATACCGCAGAGTATTGAAAATATCATGGACTGATAGAATTACAAATAAAGAAGTACTGGAGAGGGTTGGTAAAGAAATAGAACTAATCACCACTTTACAAACTAGAAAACTGGAATACCTAGGCCACGTCATGAGGGGACCAAAATATGAAATTTTGAGACTGACAATACAGGGAAAGATTCAAGGAAGAAGATCTGTTGGCCGAAGGCAGAACTCATGGTTAAAGAATCTACGTGATTGGTATCAATGTAGATCGATTGATTTGTTTAGAGCAGCAAGTTCTAAAATAAAAATAGCCATTATAATTGCCAACCTCCGTAGGGAGACGGCACTCTAAGAAGAAGAAGTATTTAAATTTTGATTGTATTATGCCTTCTTCTTTAGGTGCAATGTCCATATTCAGATGATGGCTGTCATCATATTTACAATTTCCTGAAACCTTTCTCTATCTGCTACTGAGCGAAATAATTCTTCCACGTGGTACCATACCATTATCTAATATTACGTAGCCATGAAAGTTTCTTTCGACAAATCTATCTCTTTATAATGTATGTGAGCAGACGTTCTGAATTCATCATTTTAAGAACATCTTCATTGAAAGTGTGAGAAACCTATGATATTTTAAGGATCCATCGATAGCATCACACTTCGAATGTTTAATGTTTATGTCTTACAACCATATAATCGAATAGAAAACACATAACATTTCAGGACCTTCTTGCTAATATATATCGACAGATTTCTGTTAAAGATAGTACAAACACTCCTGACTATGGAGCTGCGCAAAGGTGGAGTTAAAATTCACATAAAGGCAAGAAGGTTCTATTGTAAACCAAATTTCGTCTACTGTGCCGTGGTCAGGAGTGTTTGCACTATCTCTATTTACATAAAACTGGTTTCCAGGTCATAAAAGCCTTTTGTGATATTTCGATCCTGGTTAATACTGTATTATTCGAGAATTAACTAATATATTTGTGGTTTATTTTGATTACTTTCGTATGAATATGGTAAATTTGCTTTGTATAAAGAGTTTGCTATTTCTCGTTTAGAAGAATTTGTTGTAATACAGTTACAATAGATGGACACATATACTGAATTTTAAAAGAATTTAGTGGGAAAAAAGCGCTTTATTCTATCACGCAACAATCTAGACAAGGGCACTTCATTATCCAAGACATTTACATAAACATTAATAGTCTCCTTACAATAAAATAGCGTGGAACGTAGTATACTTAAGGAGGCGTCCTAGGTTCAATCGTCTGATTGAAGATAGGCGCACTATACTCTAGTGTATAAATACCGAGAAACCGTCGAGTCCAAGGTCCGAGGTAAAGAGATGGCAAACATGGAAATACACGTCGGGAGTTGAAAATACTAAAAACAAATGTGGGAACGGCTAGATTGTTCCATCATCTGATCGAGGCTGCTGCCGTGGAAAGAACATAGTCATACTGGTTACAGTGGAGCCAAATACAACAGCGGTTAAGAGGAGAGGCTGGTTTTTGGATGTGACTGGAAGAGTCGGTGTACGAATCTGTAACAGGAAGCTGCAAGTATATGACATAATGGCAAAAGAAGGGTATACGATCGTAGATATGGAGGAATTGCAGCTGGTGTGTTGCTATCTTTTCCTAATATAACGGTGCGTGATTATGAGAGAAAAATGGATAAGTTCATAGAGTAGAGAAGATGATGAGTACAAGAGGAAAATGCGTGGTACTGGGAGATATCAACGCAAAAGTTACATTGGTAGCCCCTCCAAAAAATATTTACCACCTACAATCTGGTGCCTCACAGTCATGCAAGATATGATCGACTATTTCAGGTTTTTTGCCACAAAGTCTGTAGCTTAAGTCTGCATGAAACAACCTCAATATATGCATGACAGACTAATGCATGTCGTTAAGTAATACTTCAATTAGTTCAATTAGACACGTTTGTCTAATATACATATTATCATGTGCTTGACAGAGTATACTTTTCAGTTAGTCATATTTGTGAGTTTCCAAAGGTATGTTATGCTCGAATCCAGACGTTTACCGATTCATCAGTTTATCAGTTTATCAGCTCTTTCGCAGCAGCCATATATTCTACGATGACCTGAACCCATACCAGTATAACACTGTTTGGATGCTCGAGATTTTCGATTTATTTCCGGCTTTTTCACACTAGGTTATAGACTACACATAACCGGTTGTCTATCTGTACAAAAATTTAATCGCTGAACTTCAAATGTCGTCGTGTTAATTTCTTTTGCACAATGCAATATTCTGTAAATCTCTGCCTGGTATACAGGGGTAAATTTTTTTAATGTAATAGAAATGTATATCATTTCTAATACTGCTGTAAATTTCTGCCCCCGACATTTCGACAGTTTTACAATTATTTGTGTACCAGATTTAAATCTACAGCCTGGCTGGTATGTTTTCTCTACTCCATTCCTCTTGTGAGTAGATATCCACCTAGAACGATCATAGGGTTATAAGGAATTATTTTGACTTTATTCTCATGTAACCAATACGTTAATTATTGTTTTCTCGCAATCTATAATATCCTATTCTCGCCTCTCCCCTTATACCAATATGTCAAGTATTTTACAAATTTGTATACAATATTTGTATATATATATATATATATATATATATATATATATATATATATATATATATCAATCATTAGGGTTATAAAATTTAAATGACTTATCGTGTGTTAGACTTAATAACACGATTATTAATCTTCCGCAGTCGTTTTTATCATTATTTTCATTTTTACTTTTTGTGTAGGTGCCGGTACTGAATTTTGGTCTTCTGGTACACGTTTATTAGATGGCAGAAACTGGGTTTGGTTACCTAAAGGTATGCCTATTGGTTACACCAACTGGGGCCCTGGTCAACCAGATAACAACAACGATCATTGTATACGTCTGCATTTGGATAAGAATAATGGTCTGTTTTGGGATGACATTAACTGCAATAACGTTAACAGAGTAATCTGTGAGACGTTCGTTGGAGGAAATGGCGGACATGGAGGTAATGTAGGAAACGGAGGAACTGAAGGTAATGGCAGCAACGATGGAAATGCAGGACATGGTGCTAATGGAGGAAATGCAGGTAATGGAGGAAATGCAGGTAATGGAGGAAATGCAGGTAATGGAGGAAATGCAGGTAATGGAGGAAATGCAGGTAATGGAGGAAACACAGGTAATGAAGGAAATGCAGGTAATGGAGGAAATGCAGGTAATGGAGGAAATGCAGGTAATGGAGGAAATGCAGGTAATGGAGGAAACACAGGTAATGAAGAAAATGTAGGTAATGGAGGAAATGCAGGTAATGGAGGAAATGGAGGTAGCACAAGTAATGGAGGAAATGGAGGTAACGGAAGCAATGAAGGAAATGGAGGTAACGGAAACAACGGAGGAAGTGGAGGACATGGCGGTAGCGAAGACAAAGACGGTAAGATGAATTTTTTTTTATATATTATATATCACAAAAATCTAGATAAAAGACATTTTAAGGAATTTAAATCTTTTGAAAAAGTATCATTGTCAGTTTTTAATAAGAATCAATAATATTACATCCACAGAATGGAACGAATTTAATATTTTTAGTTGTTAAAGTGGAAATTATATATTTTGACACAAAGTGATAATTTACAGGTTTATAACATATTATATTTGATGGAGAAAGAAAACATTTAAAAATTATTGAAAAGAAAATTCAAAGAAATAACTAAACGAGTTAAAAAATTAAAAATAATAAAAATAAATGCATAATAAAAAAATTGCGAGAAGACTCAGGAACAATAAAAAACTATAACCCTATTCAGTTCACAAAAAGCTACGCGAAATTTTGTAAAATATGTTCCAGATCTTTTATTTGATTAATCGTTATAGACTACAAGCCCATGGGAGATTTTATAGTACTGCATTTATACTTTAGGTAGGTAATACAAAAATAATGACCTTGGAAAATTTTTCCCCATTTTCAGCAATTTGACACAGTACGGCATTTATGCACAAAGTTTCGGATTGGTGTATAGATTATTTTTTTTGCATCGCCGTACATTTCAGCTAAAACGTAGGTGAGAAATCTGTGACCCAACCCTTAATTTGAACCCCCATGCTTTGAGTGCCAATAAGAATTGGCGGCATAGTTTCTAAATTCATCATTACATATTGTAGTATTGCTTTATATACAGTTCATGTTGGGTCAAATGACCCCCTAAAAAATGTCCCATCCGCTTGTAGTCTACAGATATTAATAATGAAAACAAAGACTTACCTGCATAAGAAATTTTAGAATTTACCAGTAAAAGATGCGATTTTAGGTTTAAAAATAGTAAAGCTAATGTAACGGAACAGGTAATGTAAATGACGAAATAGACTTAAAGACTTATAATACCATTAGATTAGCTGAAATCAACCTATGTCGTAATTCCAAAGAAGTGAAATGCTATTACAGACAATGGTTATTGTTTAATTATTTTAATAAGTCACGCAATCAAGGGCGGATTTATAATAAACTTAAACATTTTCTTGCTTGTACAAAGTTTTCTCTGATAATAAAAATGTTAAAAGATGATGATGAAATATATGTTCATTATGGTCTTACATATCCGCTAACCTTTCTCCATTATTATTTGGATGTCTTCTCTATATCTACCGACGTTGTTTTTCCGTATTTCAACTATAACTGTTGAGATCTCCTAAGAATATCAACTCTCTACAGTGGCATGAATTCGTTTAGATAAAATACATTAATAAAACGTTTATAATTATAAAACATAAAAAAAGCATAAATAGTTATGCATTCTATGTAATGTATCTTTTGCATTATAGATTGTTACGTTCTATATAACGCAATATTTTGTTTATTTTACATTTCCCTAATTTTCCATCGATTATTCTCTCTTCCTATTTTTCAAAAATTTTATACTAATATACCAACTCTTTAATATTGTTTGGTTTTTATCCTTAGAATCAAAGTGATCGGCGCTCAAATTCTACTTTTTAATTTCTGTCTTGTTGTTTACTTAAGTTTGGATTCCCCACGTTGGGCGCCAACGTGTAAGGTTTTAACCAAGTAAGTTATACCATTTTGAAATTAACCACAAAGACAATCGTGGTGATCCCTACCCTGGCTAGATCTTCTCAGAAGTAGTTCGGCTAATCCCTAATACAAACAATGGTAGCAAGAACGATCACAAGGGAGATCAAAGCACAACACAAAATAAAATTCAAACATTTTTTTTAATTAATATACCTGCCTTTTCGTTACAGCAACTCCTGTACAAATTGTCTAAATGCCTTAATAAGAAAGAAAATAGAAAAATTTTCCAAACAAAAAAATTTTTAATATCTGACTATATTATTTACAACTAAATGAAAATGCACATATAGTAGTATCAATCAAACTATGCAAATATTGCATTATTCTTGGAATGTAATATTGAATCAATTTTAAAAATACAGAAAAGAGAGAAAAAAAATACATTTGAAAATCTTTTAAAAGCAATAAATAGATAAGAATAAAAAAGTTAAAGTTATATTTATTTTAACCAATTTCTGTATTTTATTGCCATATTTTATAATTTATCATATATAAATTATATTGTTACACGAACAAGTTTCAGGAGACGATTTCTTGAGCAAGCTTGCTCAAACTGTCCCAGGAAATATTCCAACTGTTCTTCAGGAAGGAAGAAAATTCCATGTAAACAGAGGATTACGTGTAAGTATTTTTGTTTACTTAGTATTTATCTTCTGCTTCTTTTAGTTTTACCTTCTCTTAAATTAACATGACGATGCGGATCTTGTTGTAATTATCTATCTATAACTGTCTTTATTTCTTTAATTTGACCATATTTATATTTTTAGTAAAATATGCTAATACAAATGCCAATACTCTTACAAAAGAGCATTGAGTGTAGAAAAAATATTTGCGTAAGTTGTATAGATTCCAAAAAACCTTTGATAGAATACCACATACATTACTATTTTAATTCTTAAACTCAGTTGGTCTGGAGACGTATGACATTAGACTGCTCAAAAATCTTTACTACAATCAGATCTCTTGTATTAAGGTGGATAAAAAGGTGTCAACTAAAGTTTCTATTAAGCGTGTTATTAGACAGGAATATGTTATATCAACTATGTTGTTTAATGCCTATACTGAACCAGTTTTTAAAATAGCGTAAAATAATCGTCGTGACGGTGTTAAAATCGATGGTGAAATTACCATTAATATCAGATACGCAGATGACACCGTCATAATGGCACAGAGTGTAGAAGACCGTCAAGTCCCGTTGAACGCTGTAAACAACGAATGCACTAAAAAGGGCTTAACAACCAACTCAAAGAAAATAAAATGAATGGTGGTCGGAAAAATTTATATCGAAGACTCAATAATAAAATACGATAACAAAATCCTGGAAAGGTGGAACACTTTTAGATATCTGGGTAGCTGGATTGACTGTAGGGTTAAAAGTGAAAAACTTTCGACCAGAATAGAACTTGCCCGAAAAAGCTTTATTAACTGTCGTACTGTATTGTGCAGTAGAAATCTGTCATTGACCACAGGTCTAAGAGTATTGAAGTACTTCTTCTTCTTCTTGTGCCACTCCTATCGGAGATTGGAAATCATCAAGGCTATTCTGACCTTGTTTACGGCTGACCTAAAGAGTTCATTAGTGGTGCAGCCAAACCACTCTCTCAAATTCCGCAACCATGACATTCTTCTACGGCCTGGATTCCGTTTTCCTTCTATTTTTTCCTGCATTATATTTTGAAGTAATACGTATTTATGTCCTCTCATCAGGTGAACAAAATATTCGAGTTTTCTTCGCTTTAGCGTTAACAAAATCTCTGGGTCTTTTCCTATTCTTCGTATTACTTCACAGTTTGTTATTCTTTCAACCCAACTAATCTTCAGCATTCGACGGTAGCACCACATCTCGAAACTTTCAATATTTTTCATGTTGTTCTGTTTGAGAGTCCAGGCCTCTACACCGTATAATAGCGTGTTAAATACATAGCCTCTCAGCATTCTTAATCGTAGAGGGATGCTTATATTTCTGTTGCAGAAGAATTTTCTCATCTTTATGAAGGTGGCCCTGGCAATTTCGATACGTCTTTTTATTTCACTGTTTTGGTCTCCAGTTTCGTTTATTAAAGTTCCCAAGTATTTGTAACTTGATACTTTTTCAACTTGAGTGCCGTTTATACTAATATACGCTGGTTGTGTCATGTTTTTTACTGAAGACCATATACTTGGTTTTTTTAATATTGATATTTATACCATAATTGTTGCAAGCAATATTTATGTTACATTTATATATATTAAAGTACTACGTCTGGTCTACTTTATTCTACGGATGTAAAACCTGGACAACAAAAATTAAACATCTTAATAAATCAGAAGCGCTCAAGTTGTGCTGTTAAGCTACGCATGTTCAGAATACTGTGAAGAGCACACATATCTAACGAACGTGTGCTAGAGACCATGCACAAAGCATATTCCTTCCAGGAACCAAATGGTCAGCATTTTTTCTTCTTCTTCAGCAACGTCGAATATGACCAAACCATCTTAACCTATTTTCTTAGCGTGCATGTCCGTTCCGAACGTTGGCGATCATTTTGGCTATGATGACTTTATTGGTTGCTATACGGAATAGCTGTGTTGAGGTCTTTTATACCATGCTCTTAAGTTAGCAAGCCAGGATATTCTTTTTCGTCCTAGGGCACTCTTTCCCCCAATTTTACCTTGCAAAATGCATTGGAGTAGCTCATATCTACCTTGATTGCTCATTATATGTCCCAAGTACTGCAGCTTACGATATTGACCAAATCCGCGGTTGTGTTCATCCTCCGTAGTATTTCTTCATTAGTGACTTTGTCTGTCCATGGTATCTTCAGGATCTTTCTGTATAAGCATAGCTCAAAAGCCTGAAGATTTGATAGTGCTTGCGCCTTCAAAGTCTACGTTTCTACGTAAACACTGAAACGTAAAGAAAGCACTGAGTAAACGTAACATTTAAGGAGCCTTATTTTTGTTTTTAGGGTGAGATTGTGGCTCTTGAACACAAAGCTCATAATCAATAATGCGTTTTTTGCATTTCCGATGTGACATTTAATCTCTTGTGTATTGTCCCACGATCCATTGATTTATAGTTCCCAAGTAATTGTACTGTAAGACACGTTCAATTCTCATTTGGTTCACATACAGATTTACTCCAGTTATGTTTTCCTTGCTGATGACCATTAGCTTGGTTTTGCTGGTGTTTATATCCCGTCCATATGTTAAGTTTTGGAGCCATTCTATGGTATTGGAAAGCACTATTGCATCATCGGCATACTGCAGGTTATTGAGCGTGAATCCATTTATTGAGATTCCTTCATGAATATCTTTTAGAGCCTCTTTAAAAATGTGCTTTGAGTACTGAATAAATATCAGGGGTGAAATTATGCACTCCTGTCTCATTCCCCTTAAGATTTTGACCTGATCTGTATATTCTCCATCTATTCGGAGTACCGCTGATTGATTCCAATACAGGTTAGCTATTACTTTTAGGTCTCTTCTTTGAATCCCTGTTCTCTCCAGAACCTCCATAATTTGTTCATGCCTGACTCTATCGAAAGTTTTCTTTTAGTCAATCAGGCATACAAAAACATCACAGCTGACATTTATACATTTCTGAAACAATACCTGCACGCTAAATAAAGCTTCCCTCGTACCAACGGCGTTCACAAATTTAAACTGATTGGGAGCAATTTGTTTCTCGCATTTCCGGTAAATTCTTTTGTGGATGATTTTTAAAAACAACTTCAGCAGATGGCTCATTAGGCTTATGGTCCCATAGGCTTCCTAAACTGTTGATTCTGTTTTTTGGGCAATGGTATGAACACCAATTTGAGCTACTCTACTGGTATTTTTCTTGTATATTTCATTAAATATTTCAGTTATTATTTTTATTTCTTCTACATCTAATAGCTTCAGCAGTTCTGCAGGAATTTTACCAGGTCCCGGTGCCTTTTCATCCTTCATTTGACTGACGGCTACGTTATTTCTTCTGGTAGAATTTCGGGACCTGAATTTTCAATGGTAGATTCTTGTAGTGTTCTAAGGTCGTGGAAAAGTATTCTTCCCTTACTTTTTTAACCTATGCTCTCTTATTTTGGCAACAATTCGTGCCACCTGTAGATTTTTCCAACTATACATTTTTAATTTTATCCCTTGTTTTTGTCCTTTTTTTTGTCACTTCACTCATCCATCTAAGCATTCTCACTTCCACTATAATCACACGGTGTTTCTTTTTCTTATTAACTGGCTAATATTCAGTTCCATACATAATAGCTTGTCTTTATAGAATTTTATACGTTTAGCAAATAAGAGCTCATTCATTCTAAAAATGAGATTATCAATTTAAACATGTTGTAAAAACAATGTGAAGGCAAAATAACATAATTTAAATGATTGTTGCCTTGCAAGAATGTTTGATCGCAGACCTTCTCTTATTGGGAGTTTAAAACTCATTTTAAACAAAAGCAGAAAATATGCCTAAATAGCTCAAGTATGAGTGTATCTGCCTTTAGTGCCGAATGATGTGAGTTCAACTATCAATACAGTAATAGTTTTCCGGTTGGATACGTGTTGAAAAAAAAAACCGACATTGTAGTAATCTCATGAAACACAAACCCTGAAAGTTACAATGATAATTTTTCGACTGTTCTAACAACCATTAAAATTTCGTCATTTTGTGTCATGTGGAACAATTTCACCCAATCATGTGCAACATTAGACTGATAATTGCATTCAGTGCAATTTTCAATCGAGTTTGACAACTTCATCTAAATAAATTTCAAAATGTCACGTTTCGGCAATGAGAATGTTCAAAGTATAAATGCGCTAATCAAAGAAAAAATTCCCAAAAATACAACCTACAGTCACAAATATATTTGGGAATATTCATGGAATTTTGCTGCGGACGAGAATATGAGTCTAATGAACATAGAAGCTTATCCAGCATCTTAGCATAGAAAAATTATCCGCTGAATATCCCTCGGACATTGATGAATACCTCATAATTTCATGACAAATTTCTTAAGCTCTTTGCTTGGTAACCAAGGAACGAGCTTTCGATTGTCATGAAATTATCTCGTCTGTTATCAATATCCTAGGGATATTACTACTGATAATGTACTAGACGTCCATTTTATAAATGAGTGTAGATGTACTCATAGTATATCTAAATCATAAATATCTACGAAAGTGAGGTATTCAAACAGTGAGATGCACTTGGAAGCGCATAAAGGCACCTTAAAATTGTTAGAAGCATTAATTTAATATTATGAAAATATGTGCCAAAAATTTCTTCGAAGCATACGAAGCAAATTGGAGGAATAAGGAATTGTTATTAATAGGTACATGAAACAATTCTCGCTTATTAAGAGTAACACAGGTGCCAGATAGCGGATGGCATTCAGATATGAAGGTTAGTTGCGAATATACTGAATACGCAATCCCCGACCAAGCAGCGGAAAGCATACCTTATAAAATACTACAATAGCCTAAGGAAAGTATTGTGACATGGCGAGTATTGCCGCCATTAAATAAGCATAGCCTAACTCCCTTTATCTTACCGACTGACTGCCGGGATACGCAATTCCTCTCTTGTTAGTCAACAGCTTCGGGTGGTGGACGAACTGAGAAGAGAATAAGGGCACCCCCTTTTC